CCTGAGCCTAAAGCAATTTTGCACCTTCGAAAAGGTTGTAGCCGAGCAACTGAAAATTAGTATTTTCTTAAAATTCATAAAATAACGCCTGGCAAGCAGGTATCAAATTCCCGCAAGGGTGTCCAAAATGCGAGGATAGTAGTTTTTTGTTTCATAGCTCCCTATCCTTTAATACTTTTTGGAATTATTTGCGCAATAATTTATCGTTTTTTGTCTAACCAGACGTATTTCGGAGATGAATTTTTGCATACAGTATTTATTTTTCATGTTTAATCAAGTGATGCAAAACTTAATTAATTCAAAATTAAATTAAGGCCTGGAAAATTTACTTTTTCAAGATAATGATTATTCTCACCGGTTCATATTAATCCTCATCTGTCAAAATACCTACATTTCAAATTTCATAACAATCCATTCAAAAATACCTGAGTTATTGCGCCCGAAAGTGTTACGTGGGACACCCGGTATAATATGTTTTCCAAAGAAAATATACTCAAAGGCAATAAGAATTGTGATAAACAACTATGATATCATAGTCACAACTACACACATTAGGATAAAAAATATCAACTTTTCTGTTCATACCTCGGACATTTTGATAATTTAAGTTAAACTTGATCGCCTGCTGGATTTTTATTGGTTTTTTCCATCCCTAATACTTTTATCGTCACCATTGCTTTCAGTGTCTGCCCTTACAACAATTTTGGGAATCCCATGACGGTATCTCAACACTAAATTGTTTTCTCCATTCTCTTTGCGTTTTCGGAATTCGTTTCTAACCAAATAACTCTGATTTCGTTGGTAGGCAGTTAGGTCTCGATTTAAAAATTGCCTGTTCTTTACTTTGTAGGTTCTTAAAATTTCAGTAACTTGCTGGGAATTTGCACATGTTATCTTTAACAAACGAGTTTTATTCCTATCAAATTTTCCTAAACGGTTACATGACAAAATCTTATAAGTGATATCATCATGAGTATTGCTAAATAATAATTCCTTGCACCGAATTACATCATCTTCCTTGCGTAATGCACCAGTTTCTTTATCAGATTCTTTAAAATTATATAGTATCACATTACAAGATCTATTGTGACGATCCTCGATTTCTTCAAGTAGCTCATCTTGCGATAGCTGATGTTTTTTGCCAAATTCAGGGTTACTTTTGTTGCTGTGGGTGTTTTTCAACTCTTTGACTTCCGCTTTTAACGAGGCAATTTCATCTTTTAATCCATCTATAACACTTGACAAGTTACATCTGTCACAAAAATATTGGCTCCGCCTGTTCTTGTTTTCTAAACACACCTTTCCAGCTTTCGTAATTCCACCACAGTTGAAATGTATAGGGTGATGACCAACGCGCGGAATTGTATCTCATACGCTAGAACCAGTGCTGTCGCGGCGATAGTTTGATTACAAATATATTTTTCTTTTGGACTATTTCCACATAATATAACATTTCAAGATCAGAAATCTGTGGTCCTGTGGTTGAAAAATTAAAAAGGGCATCAAGTATTATTATTTGAATTAATATAGTAATATACAGGGTGTTATTGAAATACATGGAAACAAAAAATCTGGTGAATGTAGGGAACCTAAGAAGTCAAATGAACGTTTGTTGTTTTAGTAAAATTTTTAAAGGAAAATTTAACCCCTATCCAAACATTCATTCCTCCACTGATAAATAATGGTTTCACGAAAAAATGTGAAACCTAGTAACTGAAAACTGCCGAGGTGTAACTACTGTTGCTATTAATTTATTGCTAGCAGCAAATAAACAATGACAATAATTATTGAACTGACAATTAAAACTTCAAAATCATAATTTAATCAACCATAAAATGAAACAAAACGTAACGTATGCAACTAGAGCAAGTTTTCAAAATGTCCACCACCACTTCGTATACACGCTTCCGCACGTCTAATCAATGATTGTTGGGTTCTGGTTATCATTTCGGGATGTGCTCTAATTTCAGCAGCTACATTTGTTATTCTGTCCCAAAGTTCCTCAACAGAATTTACTGGTGTTCGGTAAACCAACTCTTTCATGTGACCCCATAAAAAGAAGTCGCACGCATTCAAATCGGGAGACCGAGGAGGCCACAGGACTGGTCCATTCCTTCCAATCCACCTTCAAGAAATTTTTTATTCAACCAATCTCTCACTTCTGTAGCATAATGTGCGGGAGCTCCATCATGAAGATACCACATATCCCTTCTTGTTGCTAGTGGCACATTCTCCATGATGTTTTCCCATGTAGTATTTAAAAAATTTAAATATGCGTGTGCTGTTAATCGCGGGGGTAATACGTAGGGACCGATCAATTCGCCCCCAACCATACCTGCCCATACGTTCACAGAAAATCGCTCCTGAAAATTTCTTTCTTGGACTGCATGAGGGTTCTCATCACTCCAAATGTGAGTGTTGTGTGCATTAAAAACACCATCTCGTGTAAATGTTGCTTCAACAGTTGAGAGTATTTTCTTGACGAATTGAGGGTCCTCTCTATTTTTTTGGGATAGCCATTCACAAAAGCGAACTCTAGGTGGCAGATCTTCTGGTTTCAAATGCTGAACTCGTTGTACATGATAGGGGTGTAGGCCTTGTTCATGTAGAGTTCTCCACACCACAAAAGGTGAAACTCCTACTCGGTAAGACAATAGTCTAATGCTTATACCTGGATCGTTTTCAACGACATTCAAAATTTCTTCTTCGGCATCAAGTGTCCGTTCTGTCCTTTCACGACCACGATCTTGAAATTTCCCACTTTCTCGTAGACGCTGAACAACGTTAGCAAATGTTTTATGATTTGGCAATCTTCGTTCGGGAAATGCTTCTTGGTATAAACGTCGAGCTTCCAAGGAGTTTCCTAAGGCTTGTCCATACATCAGAACCATGTCAGTCATTTCAGAATTAGAAAAATTCATTTTGTTCTTCCAAAAAATTGCAAAAACGTCAAAAAATGATGGGCTAATGAATTTATTGTCATGTTAACAAGCAAGAATTTTACCTACTTTAAATTACTATAGTGATCAAATTTACCTTTAACATTTTTGGAATCAGTAGCGCACACGCAAATTTTAACAGATTTTCAATCAATTTTATCTCGAAAACTAAAGGATTTTTATTAGATCAATATTTGATGCATAAATTCTCTACATCATGACCAATTACTTTAAAAAAAGTTTCCATCTATTTCAAAAATACCCTGTAGAAGTAGTTTTTTTACTAGCTGTAAACACTCCTAGCGACGCACTGGCTACGACCTTGTGGACCAGATCAAGGCGTCCCCGCTACTCGCCGTAAAACACACCTTACTTCAACTGGGGGATTGCAGCGGTGAAACAAATTCCCGCGTACTGGTGATGACATAAATCACACACAGTACCTTCGGTTTCACTACACTTTTTGTTACATTTACTACAAGGCATGTCAAATGACATGATGATACTAATTATTTACTTACTTACTTTATTGACGGAAAAACATCCTTAAACAACACAAAGAAAAAATAATAAAATCACATGAGAATGTTACAATGTTATTAAAATAATATTTGCCTTAACTTAGTTTGAAATTTAGGAAATGTATCTGTATAAAAATCAATTCTACCATAAATAGAATTACAAGTAGATTAAGTGGTGAAAACAATAAATAATTCGTAAAATTGAATTTAATGTAGAACAAGGGAGCTTGTCTAACATTGAACTGAGGAACATAGAAGTTAATAGAATTAAGAATGTCAGAATCGCACATATTGTTTAAAAGCTTATACATAAAACAAATTTTGTGAAAATCACGACGTACACTTAATAAAGATAAACCCAAATAAGATTTACTAAGACTAGTAGAATGAGAGACCTTAAGTGATAATTTGAACGAAATAGATTTGACAAACTTATTTTGAATACTTTCAATTCTGTTCTTATGTATCTGATATATTATAGGATCCCACAGTATGATGATATGATATTGGTGATCTGAGCTTCTGGGGCTTCATACCGAGTATCATAATCTCTTCCACATTCAATTATGCAGTTACTTGTTATATCAAAGCACAGTTAATTAATTTTAATATAACACAAACTACCAGCAGCGTGCAGAGTGCGGCGTGCAGCGTAGAAGTGTCTGTAACTGTAAAATTTTATAACTGTTTGCCTGCTGATATAAAAATCTGAATCTTGTTAAATTTAAGAAGGAAGTTAAACAAATTTTGATAAATGGTGTGTAATACTATGATTATGACGAGTATTTAAATCGACATTGTTTGTAATATTTTTTTTTTGTGATTTTGCTTCTTGAGCGTAAGCAAAGGAAGTAACAATACTTCTTTGTCCTTTGTCTACTTCCTTGTCGACGGACTCGATTACAAAATCTAGTCCGTCGACGGACTCTCTACTTTTACGTTTTCTCGACCTTTCATGACCACTACAGTATGTCTGCCGTCCCGGATTTTTTTGTGTTTATGTTTAGATAAGTTGGGTTAGTTTTACGAATGTAAAACTGTACAGTTTGAGCACGAATATACATTATTATTATTATACATCTAGTATTTCAGGATCTTTGCCTGCGTGACATTTTATTTCAAAACACTTAAGCAGCAAAGTATGTTTAAGTGACATGTCTATTGTGAACGCTATTCATTCTGAAAATCACGTACTTTTGGCTAGGGGATATTACGTTTATTACCCCACAAACATCGCAGATAAACTTTCATTTGCCTAAATAATGCCAACGTGGTTGGCGAAACGTGTCTACAATTTTTGTTTCTTTTTGGTGTGTGTGGGGTAATAAATGTAATAAATAGTGTTATCGTGCACCGAGTGGCTATCCTTAGTGGATATATCTAAAATTAATTGCAAAAATATTCAATAATTAGATGTCTGAAGGGTAGACCTACACTGTATGTTTGGCTGGTGTCATGTTTGCTAACTTTAAATTAAATGATGCTAGACAGAAAGGTAAAGAGTATTGGAAAATTATTTAATCAAACATATTTTTTTCAGCGGAGGTTTACAGCCGGGAGATATTGTGACTCATATTAACGGTGATGAAGTTACTGGGGCTAACGACGTCTACACCATCCTTACAGATTCGACAACCCGAACGCTTACAATGACTGTTAATCGTCTTGGCAAGAGGTTGGAATTATACGTAACACCAGAGAATATAGATTAAGAATCATGTACAACAGTAATACTTTGTTAATATAGGCAGTGCTATTAATGAACTAGAGTAGAAATCATTTGAAAACTGCACACCAATAAAGTTGCGCAAATGACCAATTCCGGTTCGGGCGAGTCCAATTTCAGTTTTGAGGGGGCATTCAGCCACAGCTTGCTGCTTTACAGTGGTGTGCCTGCCGCTCCTGTTTTCGATTTCGTCAGTGTTTTATTATTATTTTATATTTCCGGTTTATAAAATCAGTTTTTTTCAGAACTACAGTTCCTTTTGGGGAGTTTAAAATAAACTAAAAATTGGTAAATATGAAAATAATAATTGGTATATTTTCAGTGTGCATTTTTCAATTTTTGCTGTACGACAATGGCAATAAAGAAACATTTCACGTTAACAACTGTACTTGCAGGTGAAGTAAATAATTACTGGAATATTGCTTTTACAATTTTCAACGTTTACGTCCGCAACAATATTTTTCATTGACCCTTAAAAGAATAAAAATCTCGACGCCACTGGTCGATTTGTTCCGCTCAGCTTTCGATGACTCGACGTGCTGTTTTCAAAAGATTTCCACTACATAGTTGTTTCAATTTTGTATTTATAATTCAATTGTTAATGTGACAAGCGCATCAACGAGTATTTTTTTACAATTGCACTTGAGTACAGTTAATTCACCATTTGGTGGATGGATTATTATCGTTCGTCGAGTGGCAAGCAGAACTTAAGGTGACATAGGGGGAGCTTCAGATGCCTAAAAGGTCCTTAAAATAATAAACCTTATTAAACAAAATTCTTAATGCTAATAAATACAAAGTGGCAAAATAAATGGTAATAACTTAAAATAACAGGAGGCACCAGACGCTGTCACCATACACACGAAGACAGTACAAAAGTAAGATATTAACGGCGCTACTGCTTTATCTTTCCATCCCCCGAGAACTATGAATAGACTCGACCAACGTAACTTGTTTTACTGCGCAAGCCAGGTGATGGCCTTATTCGTTTTGATTGACACTGTACCAGCAAGTGGGTTACGTGCTATGTGCCATCGTAATTTTCGCGACGACTTTCCTCGGATTAAACCCAGACTCCAGCGAGTCTGACTACCAGGAGGTAGTACAGAACAGTAAATAGTATATTACGCACGAGTTGAAAAAAAACACATTTCAACAAAAAGAATATTTATTCAGTTATGTTGTGATAATTTAGAGTTATAATGCTGCAGATCTGCAAAACAGAAGGATTATTGCCACTTAAAGTTGTAGGCGAGCTTGAACACGTCACCACAGTAGATCAGTAACGAAACTTCAGCAATATTTGCGGAACGGGTGTGACCTTGGGAGCCCGTTCCCGGGAAACACGAAGATTCAAATATTTCGTAGCATTCGTATGTGATTCATATAATACTAATAATTGTACACAAAAATAAAAATGGGTGGCATGTACTAGTGACATTATCCATTTTTTTCTTTCTTATAAATTATTAATATATTCAAGCAAAACATTTTTATTCAATTTTGACGTTTTAAACTGCGTTTATTAAATCCTTAGCAAGTCTGACAAATAAGTTGTTATCCACAAGTGAATTGCAAAATTTTTATTTCACTCTTAATATTTTTAAATCACTCACAAAAAAATAAAAAACAACTTCAGGAACATAAACATTTTGCTTATTATTTTTAATAGTTTTCGCAGAATACAATTTGTTTACAATTTTCACTAAAAGGTTGCTGCAACTAAATCAGTATTGTTTGACATATTTGTTTGGCTCTGTGAGACGTCAATTTGGGAATTGTATAAATCCCACACCAATACAATTCCAAAGTGTGTTTCGGAAACTATTTACTATATACAGATTATTTCGATACGAGTGCAAGAACCAACTGTGAAACACTATTTTATTTGAAAAGAAAAATTTGCTAAGGTGTTGTTTTAAACCAGAGATATGTACATATCTCTGTTTTAAACAAACTTCCACAACACATCTCCCCTGTATTCCGGCCTCTTCAACCATCATTAAGTGATGTGAGTTACCGGAAACTCACCTTGAAAGAACACAACTGTTTAGGGTATGTTTGTGGATACTCATTGATACGAAAATTGTTACACCACCACTTCTGCGAAGTTTGTTGTGAACTTTGCACATTCTTACGAAGTGGTACATCCTGTTTTACTTGTGTGACATTTTAAAGTCAATGAAGATGTGATTTTTGGCGATTTAATGATACCACCTAAACATTTTGCAGTTTATACTTCGGTAGTGGGTAATATATTTTGTGAGTTTTTCCCAATTTATGCATTGTATTCGTTAACAGGTTTGCGGCTAAAAAACGAACCATACAAAAATACCATTCCACCACCCCTGCAAAGACTTTCCTCTTGATTACCTCGTCTCAGTTTTTATTAGAGTTAGAATTTTTTACACACTAAAATTTAAAAATAAATCTTGGACCGCTCAAACACGCACACATCGAAAATTAAACTATTTCGTTTAACCTGCAGTTTGTTGACCTCTTTAGCCTGGAATTTTCTAGTATTTTTTACATGTATGGTAAGTATCTATTACTTTGTTAAAATAAATTTTACGTTTGTTTTTAACCCCATAACCCAACATCCCGTATGATTCCGTAATTAATATCACATTTCATGTTGACAAAACCAGACAAAACGTTCACCGAAAACCCTAAAATGAAAAAATGTTCTTCAAGGTCGGAGCACCTTTAGTGACGCTAGTGACCTCTTTATGTCGTTCCGTAAGCTCCCCATGTATTTCTTATGGAATCAGCTGAGACTTTCATAGCCCTGACGTTACGCACTGAAATGTTGTTTTTACTTTCCGAGCGTAAGCTAACGAAGTATAGTAATCGAATCCATCGGACGAATGGCCATTTTTATATTTTCTCCACGTTTCATGACTCCTACAATACGAAAAAAGTAGTCTCCCGTTTCCATCTGTCTCTGCGTGTGTCTGTATCCATTTTTATTAGACGCATAATCTCCGAAACTGCTGGATCGATTGTCGTCAAATTTTGTATATATATATGTATTAGAAATATCATGTATATGGTTAAAAGCTAAACAAAATTTTGCTAATCATCCTCACCAACAATTTAATGACGTCACTTCAAAGAATTCTATATTTATTTGATTTAACTGTTATACAACAATATACTCCTATAAGTGTGGTGTACGAATGCCCTTTGTGGTTTTTGCCTAACCGTCCAAATTTTTGCAAAAACATAAAGCACGGTGTAATAGGAGTTTAGCATTAGCACAATGCATCGCGGTCATAGACTAGTGGTTAATGCTGAGGTATGCTGACTGGACGTCGCGCGTTCGATTTCAAACTTGGGCTTTCGTTTTATTCCTTTTTTTTATCTTTTTCTCTCGCATTGCGTATTATCTGTGTTTACTTATGAAGTCGCAACAAAATTTTTATTGGTCAAATTAAGAACGAATCTTCCCATTTTCTCGAAAATGTGTTATTACGCACGTCTTTATGTAATAATGATAAAATAAGAATTACAATTTCATGTTGTTCAATTTTGGTTTAATTAAAAATTTTAGTCTTCTGTTTTGAGAAGACAAACTCATTCAAATCAAACTAATTTCTTAGTTAAGCGCTTTAAATATATTTTAGATTGTCCGTACGGCGCAGGGGCTGCGGGGGTGTTTCAAAACGAAAATCGTAAAATCAAAGTTCATAATTTTTTTAAACAGCTAGATTTGTTGGATTATTATAGTTCAAGGGCGAGGGAATTTCTGTCGCAATAGCGTTCGACCAGTTTTTTGTCTTCAATTGGTAATGGCCTGTTACTAGTATTATCTATGCTAATCACGTCATCACCGAATCATTTATTCATCAAATTAAGAATGAGTCCCCCCCCCCTTTTTCTTGAAAATAGACAATGCGCCCGGCGATATTTAATAATGATAAAATAATAACTGAAATTTGCGTTCCCGGGGCGTAGGGATTAGGGGATGCTATTGACACGAGTTCATTCGTTTACCGAAAAGAATCGAGGAATTTTTATGACTTTGTCTAGTTGGGTCCTCAAGAAACCGCAGATGTGCTGTGTATAATTTGTCATATTACTGATTTCGATAAACTGCACAAAAAAAATGTAGGTATCAGTTATACTTGCGGAGTCGTGCTGCCTGGAGAGCTGTTACCATTTTATTTGATGTGTTTTATTTGTGACCACTCGTTGTTGAAGCTCTTCGATAGTTTCTGGACACTATTGATTTCCATAAACTAACGGTTTCATCCAACTCATACCGGCCCACACATTTATGGAAAACCGTTGCTGAAATCGTACTTCTTGACGAGCGTGTGGATTTTCATCGAACCAAATATGAGTGTTGTGGCTGTTGAAAACAGTATTGCGAGCGAATCCTGCTTCTCTCGTATACAGAATGCATTTTAAAAAGTTAGGGCGTTCACGACATTGCTGTGACAACCATTTGCAGTAAATTACACGACGTGGAAAATCAGTAGACCCCAAACCTTGCAATTTTTGAACGTCGTTTGGATATAGGCTTTGTTCTTTTAGTGTACGATGCACCACAAACTGTCAAACTCCAACTTTAGCTGCAAGTCGGCGAGTGCTGATGTCGGGGTCTTCTTCGACGCGTTCCAAAATTTTTTCTTCAGCTTGCAGTATTTTTTCGGTCGTATCATGGCCAAGATCGTGAGTTTGAGGCGTGAAGGTACCATGATCTCGGAGATGCTGTACCACTGATGTAATTGGAATGCGTTCAATCCACAATTCGCGGGTCAACGTGGCGTTTCCAGCAGCACATCATAAACCATTACGATGTTGACACGTTCTGAATTGGAAAAATGCACCATTGTCAAACACGTTAACCGAACACATGACGACAACCAAATATCTGCAGCCTAGTCGTTCTGTGC